ACCACTCTACCTACTGAGCTATCCATATCTGCCATAAAGCCAAAAATCACTGCCAAGCTTATAGCCATCTACAATCTTTTTTAAGAGGCTATGGGAAGAGCTTTCCATATCATCACATGATCACACTCTACACATTTTAACAACAAAAAGAACACCATATCAGTGTGTGAGGTTTAAATTAAACAGGTCCCACCTGTCACTACTTAAGGATATTCTAATCAGCAGAACATAATCTGGGGCACTGATTATACCTTTATGTGTTTGAAGGTGTGATAATGGTAGAGGTGTACTTCTTCCATGTGACTCATCCATTTTTGTCAGGTACTCTCACTTTCCACCACAGTTCAAAGACATGTTTGGTTAACCAGTAACGTAGTCCCCCTGCAAGCCTACGGGTAAGTGGTTAAGAGGATGGATGGATGGCCTTTATTAAACCAAATACATATTTATGCACAAATTTATTATTAAAGTAACCAAGAAGCAAAATTCACTCAAATTCAGTTTTATTTATATAACACCAATTCTCATCAACAGTAACCTCAAAGCACTTTATATTGCAAGGTGAAGAACCTGCAACATTAGAGGGAAAAACTCAATCAGACAGCCTGCTTTAAGCTAACACTTGGTGACAGTGGAAAGGAAAAACTCCACTTTAACAGATACGTCTAGCAGAACCAGCCTCAGGGAGGGGCAACCATCTGCCATGACTGGTTGGGGGTGAGGGGAACAGAAAAGAAGTCATGAAGAAGACGTCATGTAAAGAAACAGATGATAAAAGTGTAAAATAGTAATAACATAAAAGCCTGATGAGTACATATGAGATTGTCTAACAAGAGACAACTTGAAACCTCTGGATTGTTTGTTTTAGGTAGTGAACACAGGTTGAATCGGTGCATTCAGTCCAGTGGAGGTCCCAGCTCACTATGAGTTCAACTTGTGTGATTAGGAGAGTAAATTTATCCTCTGAGATTCCTGTTAGGTTCAGTTTTGTTTTTGTTTTTCTTCCTCTGGCTGAATGAAGTGTTCTTGGTGTTCATCCAGAAATCTGATTGTGTGTGCAAAATAACACTGTGGACACATAATCACTT